AGTATTTTAAAACAAAAATGAGCCCATTCCTTATTAATGAAATGTTTTATGAAAAACACTTGCATTTTCCAAAACTGAAAAAAAAAAGTGATAAGGAACAGTGTTTCACATAGCTAGCTCAACAGAAGACTGCTGAATTCTTCTATCTGCATTACAGCAGGTAGGATTTAAAAAAAAAATAGTAAGAGTACTTATGTATACTGAGGACTGAGTTAATCTCTAAAAGCACATATTTGTACTATAAACCTAGCAACATTGAAAATTCTAGAAAACATAAAACTACACAGGCATATTAAATGATGTTGATGCTACCAAGTTATGTAGCTTCTGGAAAACAACTGTTTGTTCTTGAGGGAATGAGAATGAAAAAGAACAGAACACCTTAGTGTTTTGCTGAAAATAGTTTTACTTCCAGACCACCATTCTCATGGTTCTGCATGGTAGATGCTGATCACTAGTAATACAGTGGTTAAGAAAAACACAAGATATGTAATCTTGGGCAAATGTCTCAACCTTATTAAACCTTAGTTTTGTTGTTGTTATGTGCTGTAGAGTTGCCTGTGACTCATAGCAACCCTATGTACAACAGCCCTAAACTCTGCCCTATCCTGTGCCAATCTGTCTCCGACACACCAACCCCCATTACCCCAGTTACTGAATCAATCCATCTCATCGAGGGTCTTCCTCTCCTACGCTGTCCCTCCATTCTCCCAAGCATGACGTCCCTCTCCAAGGACTGGTCCCTCCTTACAACATGTCCAAAGTATGTCAGACGCAGCTTCAGAATCCTTGCCTCCAAGGAGCAGCCTGACTTCACCCTCTCCAGGACAAACCTGTTTGTTCTCTTAGCAGTCCACAGTATATTCAACACTCTCCTCCAGCACCACAGTTCAAAGGCATCAATTCTCCTTCTATCATCCCTAGTCATTGTCCAGTTCTCTGATGCACAGCCTCAGTTTTAGCACCTGTAAAATGAGTATCATAGTAACAATACCAAACTCAGTGGACTGTTATAAGGATTACATGAGTTCATGGTCAAATCACAAATGTAGGTATTGAACTAATATCGGCTATTATTTGTGAAAAACTACGTAATAATATGATGAGAAGTTACCTCTGGATATTTTTTTAAAGTATGTATTTAAGCTTAATATACATATAAAATGTTTACAAAGTGTAAGTATCCAACTGTATATACAATGGAGAAATGGATGGGTTTTGTATTGTTCAAATACACATTTTTCAAAATATGTTACTGAGAAACAACCACAATGGCTTAGAGGAGCCCTGGGCCCTCATGTCTGGGTACCCTGAAGATATCACACTGTTGTTATGTACTACAGAGTTGGAACTGACTCTTGGCTGACCCTCCCGCACATTTTCAGAGGCAGTATAATCGTGTGGGAGGGTATTTCCCATCTTTCTCTCACAGGTGGATTCAAACCGCATGCCTTTGTGTTGGCATTGCAGCTCTTTACCACTAGGCCACCACAGCTTCCTGGAGATACCATGGAAACTGGAATCTGAAAGATATTCCATTGGATCAACTTAATACATCTCTGATCCCATCAGCCTCCCTTCAGCTCCAGGACAATCTGCACAGTTCCAAGCAAACTTGAACCAAGCGTTGTGTCATTATGAAGGTGAATTCTAGCCAATATTGTATTTCTCCTTGAAAAGAATCAAAATTACTTTTCATTAGGAAGTTTCTTGTCTAACAAGAGAGACCTTGTCTAAGTTCAACAGTGACTGTTCCCTCTCCTTCCTAAAGGAATTGGGTGAAGTCGGAGTCTAAAAGTCAGCTGGAACTGTGTCTCTCATTGCTTTTGGGTTGGAAGTAACTCATAGCTGACACCCCAGTGGGTATTTAGAAGCTGATTTATCACCTGGGACAAGATTACCCATCTTTCTCCTATGGTGTAGCTAATAGATTTGAACCAGGAGACTTTGGGTTAGCAGTGCAATTCCCTACCTATTAGGCCACTGGAGCTCCCTTGATCTGTACTACATTTAGTCTAACTGTCTCTGAGTAGAATGAACTGGGAAGTGGTTAATATTCAAGGAGATTCTATTATGAATACAGTAGGAAATCCACCAACATTTACTTCATTATAATTTGATGAAAGAAGGTCTTGGATCTTGAAAAACTCTTCTTAACTCTGTCAGAAATTGTTTGCTCTCTACCATTTCCCCCTGCTTTATTGTGAGTTGAATTTACAGAGGAAATTGGGTTTCCACTCCACCATTCATGCACATTTGATGACACAAATTACAACACCCACAATGTCACCACTCTCTTCCTGGTTCCTCCCTGGGACGCCAGTTTTGATTCATTCTTGTCCCCCTTCTTCCTCCCTTCCCAGCTTCACTCCAGGCAAATGCTGCCCTTCTGACCTGAATTCCATGGTTCATTGTTCTTTTTTTAAAAAATGCATATGCAAATTTTTAAAAATTAATTTTAATGAAAGTGTACAGAGACTTAGGGTTTCCATTGATTCACTGTTGCACTTTTCTCCCTGCCTTCCCCCCTCCCCCAATTCACTCTTCTCCTTGAAAAGTAAAACTCTTTCATTGTTATGCAATCCCTCTAAGTCCACTCCAGTATATAGCCTTCATTCTGGACTCCTGTCATGACAATAATACCCAATCATATATTCATTTTAAACAGTTCTCTCCCTCATCTGTTTCAAAGTAGTATACATCATTCCTCCCCTCCTTCTCTGTCTTCCCTCAACCCTGATGTCTGTCCCGTTTTACAACAATGGCCCCTATGCAATATTTGTCCTTTTGTGACTGAGATATTTCATGCAGCATAATGTCCTCCAGGGTCACCCATTTTGTATCGTATATCATGATTTCCTTGTTTTCAATGCTGTGTAGTATTCCATTGTGAATATACCAGAGCTTCTCTATCCATTTGTTTGTTGATGGGGGTTCCTTGTTCTAAGTGGGAGTACCTCCCCATGTTCCCATCCACCTCTTACGTCTGCCTATTGAATGAAAGTTGGGCCATAAGGGTGAGTTTCATTCCTGATTCAAAGGGTGGCTAAGTCCACGGTTTCAGGGGCTGCTTATTATTGCTTTTTCATAGAAACTCTCCATCAAAAGTACCTGTAACTCCTCCTTCTACAACAGCAGTTAAAGTGAAATTATCTTTCTGTAAAGATAATCTGAACTATCAATTTTTAAATCCCAATGTCCCATTTTTTAAAAAAAAAAGATAGTAAAAAATTTCTGTAAATCTCTGTAGATGTTCATTGAAATGAAAAATAAACAAACTAAATTAAAAATAAAAAAAAAAGATAATTTGAACTAACAATTTTTAAAATCCCTAATAGTACCCCATTAGGGAGCTCTGGTGGCCCAGTGGTAAGAAGCTATGATGCGATCCCCAAATCACAGGGTTCGAATCCACCAGCTGCTCCATGGAAGAAGGTTATGCAGTTTTCTCCTATTCTATTTACTGCCTCTAAAAACCCACTAGAGGGTCAGCTATGGGCTAGTTCTGACTTGACCATACACAACAACGTCTCATTAATAATTTCATACTTGATATATAAAGTGTATTTTCCAAAGACAAAAAATTTTATATTCCCTAAAACCCTAAGTCCCCAAACCCTAAGATCCAAAGAAGACACTTGGCCAAGGCTGCCCAATGAATGGCAGCTGTCAGGAAGAAACCAGTAAGAGAGAGGCAGTGAAGGTCATTGGCCCTCGCTAGTGGGAGTAACGTAGGTAAGGCAAACAGCAATTTACAAAATGATACCATCGGAAGAATGCCAAGCTTTTGGGCAAAATGAACCCTGCAGCCTCGGGCATCCGAGCATCCGAGTCCTGCAGGAGCAGTGACTGCTGAACCAGTGGGTAAGTGAAGGCAGTGCTACGTCCCAATGGGCTGGGACTAAGTGGGTCAAATTACAACTGCATGATAATACAAAGAGAAAATCTCAGTTCCTTTGGAGAGTCATTTATTCACAAATGATCCTGGCAGTCATAGATAAACAAATCTCTGAGTGTTATTCACAAGCCCTCACAATGGAGCAGGCTTAAACAGAAGGGTCTGAATCTGTCTCAAAGAAAGAAAGAGGAAATTAGGAATGAGAGAAATAAATAGAAGGAGGGGACAAAGGGAGAGAGAGAATGAGAGAGAGAGAGAGAGAGAGAGAGAGTGAGAGAGAGTGTGTGTGTGTGTGTGTGTGTGTGTGTGTGTGTTGTATGTGTAAAGATGTGAGACAGAGCAGAAAGGCCTAGAAAGACTGGTACTCCCCTGCAGGGATATCTGAGTGGTGTGGGGCAAAGCTGGTGCCAGGAGCATGGCCTTCTCTGAGTCTGTGGCGGGGCAGGAGTGAGTGCCGCCCTGTGGCTGATGTTCTTCCCGGGAATGTTGCATAGTTCTGCTGATGTCATGGCTGTGTTAATGCTGCTGCCCTGAGAAGTAACCAGAAGAGAGAAGAGAGCCACAACGTGCAACACCATCAGAAGCACAGGATGAAGAGGGAGGAGCCACGGAAGGACTAGGAGGCTAACAAATATCAAGGTATTGATTTTAGAAGAAAAGGTCAGTATAAGCAAGTAAAAGGCAAAAATTTTAACAGGTGCTTTGGTAAAAAGAAATTCTTACCCACTGTCAGGGTGGAAGTAAAAAGTCAGGATGTAAGGGGAAGTGAAAAATGCCAACCTCTTAGACACTGTAGCTATTCCATCTAGGTCGAAGGATTAAGAGATTAGCCATGTCTTTAATTCTCCTTTAGAGCATTAATACAAAATGGTTTAATGACTGGGGGAAAATCAGTAGGTGTGTAAGAAGTCAAGTAAATCCGACCCTCTGGACTTCTGGATGTGAATGTCCAGAAAACAGCAGCAGCCCTGGCGAGCCCGGGAGAACCACCCAGCGGAGCAGCCTTCCAAATGTCCACATTCCTCTTTGGCAATTAAAACGAAGACACTTTCCTCAGCACCTCATGAGAAGGTTCAACTTCTAACACTTTCCAAGATCCACATCAGGAGAAGTCAATCTGTCCACAGGAGGCGTAGTTTCCAAAGCTGTCTGCTGCGAACCTCTGGGAGATGTGAATGGAGTTGAGCTTCAGAGCACCAAAGTAGAAGTTCTCAAACAGCTGAAAAGGAAAAGTCAAGCCATAATGAGAATCTAGAGAAGATGACAAATGATATGTTAACCACCAGACCTTTTAGTGGAAACACCATCCCATAACCAACCCAACAAACTTACCAAACTTATTCTTTCCTGCACATATTCTGAATGATCCTACAAAGCAGGGTGATGGAAAAGAACAGCCAGGTCTTCCCTGATTAATCTAACATCTTCTCTAACAAAGTGGACTAGAAAAAGAACCAAGAACTTGTAATCAGCATCCTGGGGCCACACCCTGGCTCGCAGGACCTAGTAGGCTGCTTCCGTAACTTCAGCTACTGACCATGTATACTCCCATCAGGACTGTAGTTTTATTACAGTCAGGATAAAATGTAAGAAAACACATACCTCCATCTAGTCAACAACATTTATTAGGAGCACTGACTAGGTACAAAAGTAAAGAGAATCATGATTGATTCTAACGACCCAGTGAGGGATACAGAACATTTGCACACACAACCAGAGGTACATGCCCACTGAGTGACGTCATAGACGCAAATGATCACATTTATCAAAAACCTTTAATTAGGCTTAGACTCCAGCCAGCAGCCTGAAGTAAATGCACTTTGCTGTGATCCTTCACTTCACAGAAGCTTTCAAGCTGTCAGCGGCGGGATGAGCTGTACTCTGGGAGGGGCCTGCCCTTGTGATTAGCACATATAAAGCAGAACCCAAAACGATACTCTGATACTCTCGATACTCGAATTCACCCCAGGAAAGTGCAATCACATTTCTAGAATGACGACTGGTAAAGAGAAATAGGGCTTACTTTCTTCTGTTAGGATGAGAGAATTTTTCCTCCTTAAAATGTCAATATCAGAAGAAAGTCTTTCAATATGCTGACCCAACAATGCTAAGGGTGGGATCCTTCCACATAGCAATGACTCTGCATTTATTTTTATAGAGGCTCTATAAACACAGACTTCAACCACTGTCGCCTTTCCTCTTCCTGCAATTAATGGCCTAGCAAAAAGCCTGGGGTTCATTAAAGGCTAACTTTATAAAGCCCAGTAAATATTGATTCTTCAACATGACATCAACTTGACCCCAAAGATCTATTTAGAGGTTGTGTGCTGCATTGTCTCATCTTTCAAAAAGGTGATCAGCTCTTGTCTGCATTGATTTACACAATTAACTTCTCCTGCTGGCCGTGGCTGCCTGTTCAGCCTATATCCACCCTTTTGTGTAAAGAAATTCAGCTTGAAACATTTACCAGCTAACCTCTTTGCTGAACATTAATTTGAAGTGAAAACCACGTCAATGAGACTGACAGATTTATAGCTTTGAAAACGGAAAGCTTCTGGGCACAGAAAGAAAACATAACCAAAGAGGCAGTAAGAGATAAGACAAAACTAATGGGGAACCTCATAACAATTTTAACAAGTTACTATTAAAGACTGCTTGTTGCTGTTGGGTGCTGTCAAATCAAGTGTAACTCACAGTGGCCCTATGAACAAGAGAACTGAACCCTGTCCTATCCTGCACCATCCTCACCATCTCTGACGTACTTGAGCCCACTGCAGCCGTCAGTGTGTCAGTCTATTTCCCTGAAGGTACTCCTCTTTGTTGCTGACTCCCCACCTTTCCAAGCATGATTTTGTTTTTCCAAGGACTGGCCCCTCTTTAATAACACACCCAAAGTATGTGAGATGGAGTTTCACCATCCTCTCTGCCAAAAAGCACTCTGGTTGCATTCTCTCAAGACACAGATGTTTGTTCTTTTGGCAGTCTATGGAATATTCAGTACTCTCCTCCAACACCACAACTCAAAGTAATTGATTCTTCTTCTGTCATCCTTACTCACTGTCCAAGTTCCAGATCAAAGCAAGGACCTGAAAAGACCACTGCTTGGATCAGGTGTCCCTTTGAAGGACTGGTAACCTATGAATGCTCCACCACCCACCTGTGACTTTATTTCCATGTAATGCACACTGCAGGCAGGCAATGACCTCCACTGGACTGACCTGTGCTTATGCAGGTAATCTTTGTATGATATGATTTGCTATGAGATTATCTTGCTTTAGGTTTGAAGTTTGACAATATGGAGTCAGTAAGGATGTAATTTAAATGCAAAATTAAATATAATTTAATTACAAAATGTAAAAGAGGAGAATGAATATTCTCTAGCCACACCAAGGCCACGGAAGGAGTACTGATGTCAAATTATAAGCCTCTGTCCAGAATACTGGAGCAGACTGAATAAATGAAACCACTCACTACTGTTAGGTAACTCTGAGTTGGTTTTCAGCTCACAGTGACCTCCTATGACAGAACAGACTGCCCCATAGGGATCCCAGGCTGGACTCTTTATGGAAGCTGCCCAGGTGGCATACTGTAAATGACAAGATAGACTCTTTACCAAAAGATCAGTGGTCTAAATCCAGCAGGTGTTCTGTAGCAGAAAGATGGCCTGTCTCCTCCTGTAGAGATCTCTCACCTTAGAAACTCAATGGGGGTCACTATGAGTCATAAGTGATTCTTTGGCAATGGGATCAGATCATCAAGTCAGTATCTTGCAGAGGCACTATGGGTGGACCTTTCAGTTAACAGCCAAGCACTAAACCATTAAACTTCTTGCCCACTAGACCTGTACAATGGTTTTGTAAAATACATCATGGGTAAAGATTAGAGAGATCCTCGAAAGTGATACTGAAATAGTATGTATTTCCTATTATTATGTTTCCAAATTTGTCAGTCTAGAGATTAAGGTATGCACGATCCAGGCCATGGTCTTTGCAATTACTTGCTGTGCATCAGGGAGCTGGACAATGACTAAAGATGAGAGAAGAATTGGTGCCTTCAAGTTGTGCTTGAGAAGAGTCTTGAACATACCACTGACATCCAAGAAAACAAATAGGTCTGTCTTGGGTGAAACCAAGTTTCTCCTTGGAAGCTAGGATTTTTAAGCTGTGTCTCCCATACTTTGGGCACGTGGCCTGGAGGGATTTTGTCCTTGGAGAAGGATATCATGCTCGGAAGGTTGGTGGGACACCTCAGAAGAGGAAGACTGCAGATGAGATGAATTGATACAGTAACCGGGGCAATGGGGGTTGGTGTGTCGGAGTAAGTGAGACTGGCTCAGGACAGAGCAGGCTTTGAAGCTGTTGTACATAGGGTTGCTATGAGTTGCAGGTTAACTCGATGGCACATAATAACAATATCACCATGTTATTTTATGCCTTGGTTCTCCTTAATCTTGTAGTTTACCTATACATGCTTTAACCTGCTCTCATCCCATTCTGTAATGACACCACCATCTATGATGGTCTAGACTCTATGTAGACTATGATGTTTATAAGCCCCCAGTGCAAGTTCTGTCTTCATTTTTGCTTTTCCCATCTCCAAGTTTTTGCTCTCTGTGCTTAGATTACAGATGATTTAGTAATAATCTTTCATTGCTATTTTATTATTTAGTAGTCTATAGCTTTAGTCTTGAGTCTTTGTTTTAGTTCTAGCAATTATTTATAGAGACTCATGAGTCTAGAAGTCTCTTGGGGGGAAGGGCCTTCACATTATTCACAGCTAATTCCCAGTACCTGTCACAGTACTTGGTGTACGGGATGTGACCATTACTTGTAAAACTAATGCTGCAGACATTTGTAAAGCAGTGAGATTCACTTTTACAGAAAGTCAAGGCTGCTGTTGTTGTTATGTGCCGTCAAGTCATTTGCAACTCATAGCGACCCTATGTACAACAGCTCTAAACCCTGCTCTATTCTCTGCCTATCTCACTGCCTCTGACACACCCATTCCAATTACCCCAGTCACTGAATCAATCCACCTCATGGAGGGTCTTCCCCTCCTGCGCTGTCTCTCCACCCTTCCAAGCATGATGTCCCTCTCCAAGAACCTGTCCCTCCTTACAACATGTCCAAAGTATGTCAGACGAAGCCCCAGAATCCTTGCCTCCAAGGAGTAGCCTGGTTTAACCCTCTCCAGGATGAATCTGTTTGTTTTCTTGGCAGTCCATAGTACATTCAATACACTTCTCCAGCACCACAGCTAAAAAGGCATCAATTCTCCTTCTATCCTCCCTAGTCACCGTCCAACTCTCTGATGCATAACAAGTGATTGCAAAGACCATGGCCTGTATCAGGCGCACCTTCGTCTCCAGAGAGACACCGTTGCTCTTGAGTACTTTAGAGAGGTCCCTAACAGCAGACTTTCCCATCGCGATATGTTTTTTGATTTCCTGGCTGCTGGTGCCAAGAGTGTTGACTGCGGAGCTGAGCAAACTGAAGCTGTGAAAAATCTCAATCCATCCATTCTGATGCTACCAATTGGTCCAGTGGTGAGAATCTTTGTCTTCTTGACATTGAGCCTCAGTCCATACTGAAGGCTGCAGTCCTGGACCCTCTGCAGCAAATGCATGAGGTCTTCCTCAGTTTCAGCAAGCAGGGTTGTGTCATCTGCATAATGCAGATTGTTAATAGATCTTCCACCAATCCTGACGCTACACTTCTCCTCACAGAGCCCAGCCTCTCGGATAATCTGTTCTGCATACAGGTTGAAAAGGTATGGAGATATGACACATCCCTGGCATACACCCAAGTCAAGGCTAGGTATACAAAAAAGAAACAAAAGGAATAGGTATACACCCAGAAAGCAGCCATCTCTGATGGTTACCTCGAAAAGAACTACACAGCCCAGTAATTACACTTCCTGGCATCTACCTCAGAAGTGTGAAAGCATCAACAAAAACAGACCCAGGATCACCAGGGTTCACTGTAATACTATTCATAATAGCTAGAGGGTGAAAACCACCTAAATGGGCATGAGCATATGAACAGATACATGAAGTGTGCTGATACATGCAGTGAAATATTATTCAGCTATAAGAGAAATGCAGTCTCAGCATCGGTGATAACCTGGATAAACCTTGAAAATACACTGAGTGAGTCAATCACAAAAGTTAAATATTGCATCTCCGTTATTACAAGAATAACAAATGTATGCAAACTATTT